TTCCAAGAGGTAATTGATTGATCTCATCCCACGCGTCTTGTCCAATTGATTCCCTAACCCCAGGGAAATCTGCCATCCTAAAATAGGTACACATGCTTTTATTCTTGAGGCTAGACATCCCTTCTTCGTAAAGTCTCGGTGGGTAACGCATTGCTTGTTCTGCAGCCATCTGAAATAAGTATAAACACATCATAACTCAGCCACAACATAAACTATAACTCAGCCACAACATAAACTATAACTCAGCCACAACATAAACTATAACTCAGCCACAACATAAACTATAACTCAGCCACAACATAAACTATAACCCAGCCATCACATAAACTATAACTCAGCCACAACTTAAAAAAAGTTAATAAGTGAGCCATAACAAATATTATAACTCAGCCGCATCAATAACAAACTAAGACAACTCAGCCATAACATGATAAGTAACTCAACCATAACATGATAAGTAACTCAGTCGTCGAATCTATAGATCTGACAAATCAGCCGTCAAGAATACTGTAACTCAGCCGTCGAATGAATAGAGCAAACGACGGCGACAATCAGCCATAATAAGCAAAAACAAACACGAGTATAGTCGGAAAAACTCTAAATACAGTTCGACACTTACCGGAATACGAAAGGTCTCGAATGTAGCAACGAAACGACGACTCACTGACGGAGACTTCTTCTCTTCACAGCGACTGAAGGCGAGTTTGAAGAGCGAAACAGAGAGAGCGTAATGGTTCGTCGGCGGCGAGTACTGTGTAAAAGGCGAGTATTGTCTTCGTCGGCGGCGAGGAAGTTCTCTTTCGCGAGAGAGAAATTTTTTTTTTTTTTTTAATTGTAAACAGTGACGAGAAATAAACTGTTCAGTTTCTCTTTTGATAATTAATGAAAGAATAACTATCGATGATGATGTGGCAATTTCGGGTATGACGTGGCATTTTCGGATCTGATGTGGCAATTTTAAGTGAAAACAGACTAAGGGTGTTTATTGTAATTACACCCATCCCACTAAACATCTAAGGAATAAAAAAAAGATTTGGCTGTTTAAGGAATAAACATACAATTGTGGTCTATCTAAGTAATTCTCCCTTAAATTAATTTACATTTTTCTGAAATTTTTGATTCAAATATTCAAATGGAAGGCTTTTAAAAGGTTTTTATGACTGATTCTGATCATATCAACGTAAATACGTAAACACAAGCTTGTTAACAAACTTCTTATGGTTTGTAACCGTCGAGCGTTGGTAAACGGTCGCAAGTTAGTATTCTAATTCAGGTGTTAGTCGCAAAATGCGTTACACATTCGTTGCAAACTGCTACAGTTTTGTGATGGTGTTTTCTTGGTCACAAAGCAAAATTTTGAATTCTATACAATTTGATCAAAACTGTTTAAACCAAGCTTTAATAAGAACTTAAGATGGTATTCTAGAGTATATTGTAACAATTTAAGAGTATCAAACATTGTTTTAGTTGGTTGTTTTTAATGAAATTTTCATAAAATTACGAACCTTCTTATAAAGTAACATGTAACTCTTTCAATTGATTAGCATATTCTGAAATTTTTGTATTTTAATATTCAAATAGAAAGTTTTTAAAAGGTTTATATGACTGATTCTGATCATATCAACGTAAAATACGTAAACACTAGGATGTTTACAATCCTCTTATGGTTTTGTGACCGTCGAGCGTTGGTAAACGGTCGCAAGTTAGTATTAATTTAGGTGTTAGTCGCAAAATTCGTTACACATTTGTCGTAAACCATTACGGTTTTGTGACAATTTTCTCTTAGTCACATAGTGAAACAAGGATTTTGTCTATCCTTTCAATCTCCCTAGTTCAATGAATACAAAGGGTTTATTGATCCAATTTGGGTGAGATGTAAACAAGCAGGATTTAACATAAGCTAACAAATTAAGCCAAGCAATTAACAGATTGGTTTATCAATTCAAATGCATAAAAGTAAATTACAGAATGAAACTAAGGATCTAAGAATAATACTAAAGCAAGCAAGAACTACATAAGCAAAATTTAAAGCAGAAATGAAAAGCAAGTAACCAATTAGATGAATAAAGGTCTCAAGAATGGGGTTAATGGATTAATGAATCCTCTTAATCTCATTGGGGTGCTTAACATGCTCAAATAGATCTAGTCCTAGACAATGAACCACTTAACCTAATCAGTCCAATCTCTTGGCAAAGATTATCAAATCTAAAGAAATTCCGAATCTCAATTCTCATTGATGAAACATGCAATAGATAGGCCTAAAGATCAAGATCATTAATGTCAAAATACTCCTTAAACAACTAATCTCTTAGGTAAGCAAGTAGATCTCTAGCATTAGTGGATCAGACATTTCATTAAACACTTTTTGGGTGCTGAAATGTTTAAGATCTAATCTCACATGGTTCATGCAAAAAATAGCTATTAAATCTCTAATCCAAAAGGGATCTATTGAAATCAAAGTTTAAACACCTCTAGAGACTATAATTCCTCACTAACCTATCCCATCCTCAAAACCCAAAAATCTCTAAATTATGCATAATCAGAAAGATAATAATCTAAGGAGCAAGATAATATAAAGAAGCAACAACAAAAACTCAATAGATCAAGAGATATTAAGATTAAGAGTTTCTGGAAAGTTTGGTGGCTAAAGCATAAAAAAAAACCTAATGAAAACTCGAGATCTCTCACAAATGAGGAGAAAAGGTCTATAATAGTGAGAGAGAGAGAGAGAAGCCCTAGTTCACTAGAGACAAAATAAAAGGTCGGTTGCAATTGGGCCCGACCAGGTGCAAGTTGGGCTCGTTAGGGTCCTCTCCGATGATCGGTCGAGTCCAATGCCTTAGTTGCAAATCTGGTCCTTCACTCCGCCCGATCGCTCGGTCGTGTCCACCTGGGTCGGGTCCAGTCCACTCGATCGGGTCCACATCCTAGAATGCTCAGAAATGTCCCGAGAGTACCTGCTTTAACTTCAAAAGCAAAAGTATGAAAATGCCTATGCTAAAACTCCTAAAAATGCAATATGAAAGAAAAGAGACTAGAACTCCTAAGAAATATGGCTTAAACTATGCAAACTATGCACAAAAAACATGCTTAAGAATGTGAAAATATAGAGTTGTCACATAGCAAAATTTTGAGTTCTATACATTTTGATCAAAACTAATGAACCCAAGAACTAATAAGAACTTATGATGTTATTCTAGAGTATATTGTAACAGTTTATGAGTTTCAAACATTGTTTTAGTAGGTTTTTTATAAAAATTTTCACAAAATTACACACCTTCTTATAAAATAATATGTAACACTTTAAATTGATTTAGACCTTCTGAACATTTCTATGCATATAACACAAATAAAAAAAATCTTAATCTTGACTATTATAACAAAAAAAAAACAATTTTGTGACCAAAATATTGTTGCAAATAAGACGCGAATTTGCTATTCTTCGTTCTTAATATAAATCTAGTTACTAAGTAGTCTCAAATTGCTATTATTTTGCGACCATATAGATTGGTTGCACCATTGTCAGTTAAGCGTCGTAAATAAGAGACGTGTTACCGACTAATTGTTGTCGTCGCAAGTTGACAACTATTTTGCTTCGATTATTTGTGTAGTCGGTAAAGTGTCTTAGTTAAGTTGCAAAACGGTCGCTCATATTTGCGACTAAAATAAGCGTCACAAAGTTTAGTCCCTAAATGCAGGATTTCTTGTAGTATACACCGCGAGAAGAAGAACATCTTGGTTCACTATTATGCGATAAACCGATGGCTCTTTTGAGCATCTTTTGAACTTAAGTTCCTTAAGCACTTGATTCAACTTATCGTTCTAAGCTCTCAAGGCTTGCTTCACTCCCTCTTACGACAAAACCCTCTGGTTGTGTTACATAAACTGTTTCTTTCAACTCTGCATGAAGAAACGCCGTCTTGACATCAAGGTGATTGATTTCCCATCCATTAGCTGCTGAAAGACTTATAAGAAGACGAATTGTCTCAACCCATGCTACCAGAGAAAATACATTCTCATAATCAACTCTATCTCTTTGCACATAACCCTTAGCAACGAGTCTAGCCTTGTATTTATTTATACTCCCATCAGAATTTATTTGTAAGATTAAAAACCCATTTCAAGCCTATAGGTTTTGATCCGACTGGAAGTTCAACAAGATCTCATGTATGATTCTTTGTGATAGAATAAATCTCATCTTCACAAGCTAACATCCACTTCTCTGATTTGTTTTCTTTTCCAAAATCTCTAGGTTCGTTATTTATGCACATCAACAAACGCTCTCCTTCTTTCTCATTTATATCAGCATCCACATTCTCTGATTCTAAAACAGTTGTATTCAAAGGAACAAGTTATGTAGTCTCTGTTTCTTCACTGATTTGTTTATTCCCTTGAATACCGTGCTTTCCAAAAACTCCAAACTTAATCCTGAAATCTCCAAGCTCCAAACTACTTTGATTCCAATTCCAACCCTTTGCTTCATAAAAAATAACGTCTCGACTTACTACTGCCTTTCGTGCGTGTGGATCATAATTTCAATACGCTTTGGACCCTGGTTTCTGTACCTATATGAACCAACACTCGTGATTTGTCATCTAATTTCTTCAAGTGCGATGCTTCTCATATGGAGTCTTATCCTTGAGTGCTCTTGTAGCGATTCTATTGAGGATATAAGTCGAATGCCTCACTGCTTCTCCCCATAGAAAGTTTGGAACGTGTATGCGTTTCATCTCCATAAGGGTCATATTACGTCTCTCGACGACTCCTTTTTTCTGCGGTGTATATGGGCTGCAAGATGCCTTCTTATGCCCGAGTTAGCACAAAACTCATTGAATTCTAATGACACAAACTCACCACCTCTTTCAGTTCTGAATGTTTGTATGTTCTCCCCTGTTTCTTGCTCCAGTAAACTCTTAAATATCTTAAATTTGTTACAAGAATCACTCTTTTCTTTTAGCAAACCTGTCCACATATATCTCGAATAATCATCGATGAGAACAAAAACATATTTTTTTCCAGCCATCGTACTTGGAATGATCGGGCCACATAAATCACCATGTATTAATTCAAGTACTTTGGTTGCTCGATAGGCTATAGCTTGTGGAACCACATGTCTTGCTTGCTTTCCAAGTAAACACGAGCCACATAAATCACACATAGTGTCTTGCA